TTTTTTTCTCCAATAAAAATTTTAATTTATAACTTATAAGCAATACAAAAATAAAAAATAAAAACTTCAAAAAATTCCATCAATCAGGCTCTAAAGGAGTCCTAAACAGCTTCCGGAGCCCCTCATCCTCCAATCCCAAATCGGTTCCGCTTGTTCAGGTAAAACCTATTATCTTTCTCATTTCTTTCTTCCACTCCTCCTTTGAATTGATGATTCTCACTATCTATTTCTTTAAGTTGAGATTTCTCGATCTGTTTGTGTGTGTACATAATTTCATTCGTTTAGCTTTTATATTTGAGATCTATTGTTTGGAGTTTTTTAGTATGGATAATTATATCAGTGTATTTAAACCCTTTTTATGATAGTTTCGTTTTTTTATAAAAAAAAAAAAAATTAATCATCATATTAGATCAAATGAATAAAAATTTCCTTTTCTTAATCATTGCGCCTCTTTGGTACTTGATTTCTTTGTTCTTATGTAATTATTTAGGAAGAAACGTGGAGCTCGAGCTCACTTGATTAGACCTTCCTTGGTATTTAGGGATTTGACAACCGAATTAAGCACAATGATGGGACGGGATTAGCGAAATTACCTTGTCATTTCTTATTTTAAGTGGAAACACATTTATGGTATAGATAAAAAGGTAAAAAATAATAGGCAAGCAGACGTGGAAAGATATGTTCAAATGGAATTTGTCTAGGTCGGGTGCGGGTCAATATCCGGGCTATATAGCCGAGGTTGTAGTTTCGATGTCGAGAATGATTTGTTTGATGCTTTTTTTTTCTTTTTTTTTTTTTGGAAAAGTTTTACTTTGGAGAGACGCTGAGAAAATACTCCTGAAAATAAATAATTTTGCAAATGGTACTAAAATTATTAACTTTGTCCAAGTTTAATGACAATTTACGTTATAAATTTTTGGGAAATTATGCTGAGTAAATTTTCATAGAAAAGTTGAAGAAACCTCTCAAAAAAGTGAAAATAAATTTTTTTTTTAAGAATTGTGTAAAAAATGAAAATTGGGTGAAAATATCATCTTCATCCTTAATTCGATATCCTAATATTGAAGTCAAACTTGATATTAGCATCACCATTGTTTGACTGTTCTATAATGTTTCGTCATATTTGTTATTTAAAAAAAAATAGATTTTAATCCAATTTGATTGGCTTATCTTCATGAACCATGTTGTAATTATCCTTTATTGTTCCAATCTCATCCACCAGATTCAAAATGCCATCCGGATGAGTCAATAAACGACAGAGGGGGAAGCCTCTGGTACTTCCACAATGGTGAACTGGACATGCAAGGAACATTGATGGTGATATCATCCTAGAAACTTAACCATCGAACACTCGAAAAATGTAAAGATCATAAACACGATGTCTTTGTCAAGAAGACAAGCAAACCCACCAGAACGTTTCAAGTTGATACAACTTTCGCGGAAGGGATATGGGATTCGAACCGTAACGGATGCACTTCCCATCTGGGCTGAGTGCCCAAGCGCCACTATCAGAACATAACCGTATGAAACTAGCAAAAACTCTTAGCGTTAACAGAGAAAGCCATCCAGAAGTATCTTGGAATACAGCAAAGAGTCATATTGTGAAATCCATATGAACCCTCCAGCACACGTTATTACAAGCATTGTAGAATCAGCTAATAATTTTAAGATCATGCGTGAAATCATTGCGCTAAGGATCATATATATACACTCTTTAAGGCCAAAAGAACTTAAAAATTTGGTAACATTTCAAAATTTTTAGTGATGGCACAGCTAAACAAGCACTCAATGGACTCTATACAGCTATTGGATAGCTAACAAGGATAAGTGACATGTCTTCTTCATAATTCAAACTGAGAGCCATCCAATTACGCATCAAATCAAAGCAATCATGACACAACTTGCATGTAACTAGTCAAGATAAACCAAAATCAACATACATACTATTTTCAATCTTATCCAAAACCCCAATAATTTCAAAGAAATTATTGAGTTTGAGACTACAAACATGCCACACCAACAGAAATCCCATAGTATGGCAATTGACATCCACCTTATTGAAGGATAGACAATACACAAAAACCATGAAAATAAAAGCAACAAAAGCCAAACGTAAACTGACTCACAGAGACAAGACAGGCATGAGCAATCCACATTGAAGATGAGAGATCAATCAATACTGCAACATCTCAGCAGAGGCCATGATTGGCTGCACCGGACATGGGAGTTGCCATGGTTCCATAAAAGAGACCGGGATCTTTGGAATATCTACTGTTGTGCCGCTGACGTCTTCAGCTAACTGCAGCACAGAATTGAGGGACCGCAGCCTCTCTGTAAGCTCCATAGCTTGCGCTCTCAAGACATCATTTGCAGCCTCCATTTCATTGTAGCGCTGCGAGGCAGTGCCGATGCGCTGCACAAGCTGGCTGTTCTCGTTCTGCAATGCGATTTTTTCATTGATCAAATCCTCGCGCTGCTTCAGCTTGCCCGTCCGTGATCGCCTCGCGGATGCACGGTTCGACTCCTCTATTTTCTCCTCCATTTTCCTCAAATTCACTTAGCGTGATAGGTTTGCTATAAGTTTTTCTATCTTATAAATATTTTAAAAATTAATTAAATTTAATTAAAATATAAAAAAATTTCATTAAAAGTAATAAATTTACGATTTACTTGTATAAAATGAGAAGTGATAATTACAACTTACAAATGTGTTGGGACCACACTTATAAATCAAGAAATTGGATTGGAAAAAAGTCAATAGACTGTACAAGAGTTGCAGAAGGTCAATTTAAAATCATCTAACTTTATTGAAGAAGGCACCATTTTTGTACTAACTTTGAAATAGGGAGCCAAAAAGTTGAGGAACCATTTGAGTGTATTAGTACAACGTTTATGGACTAAAAAAGTATTTAAACCGTTTAAGTTACTTGTCTTTCCTTCTTACGAAACAGGTAAACTGAATAAAACTCTTATGAAAGATAAAAATGAGAAAACAAAAAAAAAAAAAGGAATCGAACATTAGTTATGTAAGTAAATAAATATTTTTACCTAATAATTTGACCAATTAATTATTTACTGTATGTGTCTTCCTTTATATTCTTTGTCCATATTTTATCATTTTTCAGTATTTGTCAATTTTGCAGCGGGATGAGATTAGGGCTTGGCATGGTATGTTACCATTATCATACCGCTCTCAAATTATAGTAATTGTTTTAAGTAGTAATGAAAAAAATTTATCACTTTCAGACCAATTAATGATTTTTTGGTAATGTTTGCCAACAGTTTTTAACAGTAATGAAACTTGCCTTGCAAATATTATCTCATATTACCATCTTTAAGCTTATTTTCTCCATTATCAATTAATTTAAGTCATTCAAAATTCAATTTTAAAAGTTCAAAATTATCTTAAAAACTTATTTTATTCATACCGTTCTTCATCATCTTAAAGCATACAAATATATA